CCGCCGCCTAGCAAACGGACTGGCCCGCTTATTCGATGCCGCCACGTCGGCTTTACGTCACCGCTGATGGACTGGCTCTTCCTGTGCGTTAATGTTGCGTTAAGCCTGCGTTCGCAAATCCATTCGTCCGTGTGTACCAGCTATACGCGCTATTAGCTCTATGTATATATATATATATATATGTGTGTGTGTGTCGAGGGAAGGAAAATTGACCGAACGAATTGGCCGTTAATTTGCTGGCCAACCTTTCATGCTTTGCAACTTTGCTTTTATAGGCGAGCTCGTATCCCAACTTTCTTCCCCAACTATCCACGCGATCTCGCCAGAAGGAACCAAGTGGAGGAAAAGACGGGTTAATTATGTGTTGTTATTTACGGCCTATAAAGACGAAATTCATTCGGTTCTTCTTCTTTTTTACCTTCGTTTAACGATACTCTCCCTCCTACACTTTTATCTCGCGTCCAATTTTTTTCCTCTTCGTATAATAATCGAAATATCTTTTCGCGCGATTTCTTTCCACCTGTCATCGATATCATATGGCAATAATCCGCGATAGTAACAGTTGATGCAATTATTATAACTTGACTCGCGTTTAATGCGCTCGATGATATCGCGTATTCCATTATTCCGCTATTATAGTTCGTCATCGCTGTATCGATTCGTCAAGTGGATTTAATATCCTGATTTAGCAATACCAAAGTTACGAATTTAAATTGTATCGCGCATTAGAACGACGATAGTGGTGGAATGATAGAAAAGAGCAAACTCGTGATAACTGGTGATGGGAATAAAGTTGAAAGAAAAAAAAAGAGGAGAGAAAGAGAGAAAAGAAAGTGCATTTAAACCTAATAACGTCATTTTTCAAGGAAGCCTCGTCTTCTCGAAGCCTTTCGTCGTTACTTCTCCTTTTTTTAATACGCCGGCAAGTTTCAGTTTTATATATATATATATATGTATTCATCTTTGCGATAAGTTTCGTTTCACAGAGATTAAAAGTCTGGAAAATGAAAGGAGATTTGGTCGTTTCGATTCTTTTAAAGAGTAGCGACGCGAAATCGACACCAGTCGTGGTTTTGGTTGGCGAGCGATTCAGTCGACGGCGATACAAACTTTCGACATTAAAAACCCCCAACCCCCGACTCGAATTTCGTCTCTCTTTCACACGCCACCAATCGGTATTTTTGCCTGACCGCAAAATTATCTAATTGCCGAGGCTATAAAATATTGACCCAGTTGCTGACGAACTTCGGGACTCTCTCAAATTAAATGCCGCTTTGCCCCAACTGTCTCTAACTTCTTCTTCTTCTTCTTCTTCTTCTTTCTTTCCGCGGCATCGCGATTATAAGAATTCCTTACAACCGTCTTATCTCTTTTACGTATCTATTCACGTGACGAGGAAACGGATTCGCTTACCGGATTTCTGTAACGTAATAACGTGTTATTACACGTTAATACACATCGTGTAACGATATGAACGGTGGTTTCTGCTAAAATTTTCGTACAAAGCAACGAGTTTCCAGTATTTTTTTTACCCCGTTGAAATTTATCAAAAAACATTTAATTACGAATAATTACTCATGCACGAAACGTACGTATAAAAATACATTATACATTTATATCTCAACAAGTATTTGAATCAAGGTTTCTTAAAGAACGTACAGCGTTGATACGCTCTTCATACGTGAAAGTATGCAGATAGAAAGCAGGAGGTAAACGGCGATAAAGAGCGCGATTATTTTTCTTTTTTTTTTTTTTTCTTTTCTTTTCTTCTCTCCAACGTAAATATAATTTTTCTTTCCTCCGTTCGAAAACTTCGACGAATAATTTCGCGTCAGTCGAGCAGTTGTTTCATTTGAAGCAACACTCGTCTCATTGAACCGCGCTATTTAAACGTGTGCATTATATCGGGACTATTTACCACTCTCGAGTGTTCTTATTGTTATGGAGTTAACGAGGTTTGAACCGACTGGTTGGAACAAGCTTGGAACGAATAACAAATTGCGCGTATAAACCATAGATCCGCCATTAAAGGTTGAATGGCGGGATGGGCATCGTTGACAATCGCAACGCAACGCGTTTGTTTATTAGGCAAACCGTAATTAATAATACGATTAATAATCGTGGAAACGGTATTAATCGTATTAATTATGGTTTATCCAATTTAATTAAACTCGCTTAACGGCGATCGAGTTAACGCAGTAAACGATAATTTGTTCACCGAGGTTGTTGCCGATCCAACTTTTTCGCGCGATGTCCTTGCATACCTCTTCTTGGCTATTCTTATAAAATTTCCAGTCTGATTGACTCGAACGAACGAATAATTGCATTTTATCCTCGTTCTATCGAATTATTCGATCAATTTTTTCCTTTTTTTTTTTTTTTTTCTTTTATGAAATCATTCAAATCTTCCCACACCACTTGTTAATTTAACGTTAAACGTCGCAAAAAGAATCGATTACCGATTGCCGATAAAAATTATTGTAAGGTATACAGGTTAGAACGATCGACATATAACGTTATGCGGATTATGCGTTCAATTTTTGACGTTTGTATCCTGGTCTCGTACCTGCTGGAATTTTTCACCGTTTACGGGAGGAACGATAAGGCTTGATAAACGAATAAATGAGCCTCGTGATAAGAGACATTAGGAAAAGTGAAAAATTAAGTTCGAAGAGAAAAGCGACAAGTAGACAGGTTAGGCAGGGATATTATCAAGAGAGGAAGATGTCTCGAAAGATGTGCTGAATACTAATATTTCGAAAATTTATCAATCGTAATAATCGAGTTCCCTTTATCCTTACTTTCGTAGACAAACGTGATTTCACGAAAGAATCTTGATCAGAAGATATATATATATATATACAGAATCGCGAAATATTAATCGCGACAGAAAATTCTTCGACGCGATTCTTCGAATAGTGGCGGAAAGAGAATTTTCGTTGGAAAAACCGTGGAAGGAACGTGGCTGCGAGGTTTTCGAATATTTTAGGTTAAGCGATACGCTTCGAGCCACGGCTCACCTTGACCGACATCTCTGAACTTGAATTTTTCCCGAAAATTCTTCCCTCGCGACAAAGAGCGGGATCACCACGATTCGCACGATGATTCCAGAGCAAATTATTCCCTCTTAACCCTTTATCTTTGCACTGCCGATTTAATCCCGTGCGCAGAAATAAAATTCACGTGGAGCAAAGGTGTGCGTTCGAAGAAAAGAAATATATATACACGTGTATATTAAGAAAGTCTCTGCGAATATGGCGTATGCAAATAGGGGTGAGGTAGGGTCCCGTAGTAGGTTGGAGGGTCTAGTGAAAAAGTTTGGACGACGCTTGGCGACGAATACTAATTAAAGACTTGGGGAATGAAATTAGCTGGCGAGTGGACGGCAGCCCCGTCGAGGGTCGACGACGAGGAGCCGCTTATGATAATATAATAATACTTACTCGGTCCCGGACTCGCTACCTCCGAGCTCATTATGCGTTTAGTTCCTAACTTCAATTGGATTCTTACTATCCCCTCCCTCGCTCGCTTTATACTTTCATCATCGCGGCTCTACTTTAACACCCGCTAATTAAGGGAGACGCTGGTAATAGACGATTTACGCCGCGAATCACTCGTTCCTCTATATATGTGTATATTATACATCTCTGGATTAGTCCCTCTTTCGATCGAATTTTTTAAAATTAATCCTCTAAGTGAGAAAATTCGTTCCACGAATTCGAACGATTCGAAGCTTATTAAATAAACCCAATTAAACGACGAGCTGTACTCGCATGAAGTTGCATTTCTATCATACCACAACAGCAATATTTATAATCAGCTGATACGTATTTGTGAGTTCGATCGTTATGCATGCAAAATTTTGGAATTTTATCTTTACTTTGTTGCTTCTATACGATTTCTTTTAAAAGCACGATGTAATTGGGTTAAGGTAGCGCGGATCGAGTTCTCGGAGGGAACGGCGTCTCCGAAATCGCGCGCTCAAATCCTGGTAAAAGGTAAATGACGATACACTCGAGCCATACACTCGAGTGGACGAGAAGGAAAGGGGAGGGGATGAATAAGAGGCGTGAATGAGCGGAGCCGCATTGATCGCGGATGCTTCTATTATAATCCGTCCCCTCTTAATCTCTCCTCTTATTATTATTATTATTTTTTAAAATATCCTCACCGCCTCGGCCCGCGAAACTTATTCTCGAGCGAGAGCACTTTCGTTTCGACGTCGAACGCGTTCATCCGAAATCATCATTCGAAGAAATTATTTCCATATTTATCGTATCCGACATTATTGGGGATGGATAATCAGACGTGGATAAAAAAGCGTCAGTCATTGATGATGCGATTGAACGAGCGAGTATTTACGCGTTGAACCAAAGATATCCTCCACAGATGATATCGTATCGATTGACAAAGCATTGGCGATAGCGCTGGTGGCGAGACTGTTTTAACCTCTTCCTCGATGGCGCGAAATGGATGAAAGCTTTCTCCACAGCCGACTGGACCTAATCGAATTCCAGCTGCGTCGGCGAAAATTCCGTGGAGGGCCACCGCGATATTTAATTTTCCTTTGCCGCTTTCGTATGCGCGTCAGACGTGGTCTTAAGGGCATAAGAGTGACGCTTCCTCGGCGAAGACGACCATCTCGCAAACGACAAACGGCAGAAATTCGTTTTTACATTCTTCTCTTATTGCTTTTACGCTCGCTCGAGTGAAAACGCGGCGATTATTATCAATTATGCGTTGTATATCGAGTAAAGCAACGCGATTTTTAGATTTGCGCGAAAAAGTAATTGCAATTGTATATGTTTGGTTAGATTCGGATCGAAGGAAAGAAAAAAAATGAATAAAGAAGGTTCCGTCACTCGTTTCTCTTGGATTCTTCGATACATGTGTTCGTTCGTATTAAACGACAATCATGCACCACTTCGAGTGTACAGCAAAGATTCGAGAAAGACACGTACGTGTTTATGTATATATATATATATATGTAATATACTCACCCTCGGATTTTGGCGCAGGGGGTTTGCGAGTCGCCCAATTCGTTCGAATACTCCTGCTACCAAGCCATTGTCCATTCATGGCACCGATAGCACTTTCCGCTTCCTGGAACAATGCGAGTGAAACCTTGAAACTCGAAAATAATTGCCACTTTGAGTTAAGCTGTGAGATCGCTTTGCGTTTTTTGGGACGAGATCAAACAATTTCTCTGGCCGAATACAATAATTACGAACCGTTGATATACAATTATAATAACTCGTAATAAAACGTTTATTTTTGTATTTTTTTTTTTAAATTAAAAATTACAGAAGAATAAACTTTTGTGATTAATTTATATAATTTATTACGTTTTAAATTGCGAATATATCAAAATATCTTGTACGTTATTAAAAACAGATTGGATCGTCGAATTGAAAAAGACCTCGTCGATTAAACGAACGCACGGTCGTTGCACGGTTAATCATGAACACGTTATATATATATATATTATTTTTTTTTTTCCAACGGCGCCCGAGGTTATTCAATATTAAACCGGTACCCACCTATTAATGGCATCATCTAAAATTAATGGTTCTATCTTGTTTCACAAATTTTTCAACGTCCCTAAAAATTTGTCTCCCTCTCCCTCTGCGCTTACTGCTCCCTGTCGCGAACCCACGTTCGGTTAAATTGGTTCAGTTGCAGGCGACCGACCGGCCGCATCTACTACTTCTACATCGCAACCATCAATTTCAAATTTTAGTTACAATCGTGCTTTACGAATGTAAATGGAACACGTGAATTCCAGAGGCAGATTTTATTTCAACTAATAATTCCAATTTTAATAAATTGCAACGAATTAAAGAGGAATATATTGAATAAAATAATAATTTACGAAAGTTTAAATGATTCCGTGTATAAAGATCATTTTTTTTTCTTTTCTATTATTGATATATAACGATGCCGTATATATATATATATGTAGCAATTAATTATCTAAATACAGACATTGCGACATTTATCGCATTAATATATCCACTCGTTTTAATTCCACTGATGGATTACTCGAACGATAAACGAACAGGAAAGAACATATTAATTTACCACCACCATTCAAGTTACAATCTACTATTTTTGCAACCTATTCGTACGTAAACGGAATGTTATTGGCGCCAATTTGCCAACTCTTTAAAATTCCAAACAGCAAACGATAAACACAACAAGACACAACAAGCCTAATTCTCGCGAAATTCTCGAAAGTGTTCTCGGCCTTTCACGTAGTTTAAAGTACATATTGCGGTATAACGACGATGAGCTCGATGGAAAAGTAGTACAAGTTCAAAATTTGCTTTCGAAAGTGGAACAATCTAATCTAAAAACGTAACATCCAAAAACTGCGACACAAACTGTTTTTCTTTTCTCCCTCCTTCCCTCTCCCTTCCTCTCTCTAAAAATAAGAATATCGGATCGTTTTGAAGAAGTATACAGATTTCACAGAGACATAGTTTCTACTCGAGTATCTCGAGTATGGTCGTACTCGTGTCAAGTGTCATCGGATCGCAGCGGAGGGCAGCGAAGAAGAAGTCACGAAGCGTGGTTACCTTGCGTTAAAAAAAAAAAGAGAGAGAGAGAGAGAGAGAGAGAGATCGGGAACTGGAATAAACAAAAAGGTTACGACCAACAGCTAGAGAGGCCGTAACTCGCAGTACACAAGATGGTAGCCGTAACTTTTATTTACTACTGCTCTGGTTTGAGAAGCATAGCTCGAGTGGATTGAGAAAAGTGGTCTATTACCGTTCTCCGCGTGGAATGGAGCCGTAATAAATACGTATGTATATCTACGTATACGTTACTTACGCTAAACGTGCATACGTGCATGCATACATGTGCCGAACGAATATATATATATATATATATATATATATAGACATATATACGGTTCGAGAGACAATTGCTAATTCGATAAATCTACTCTTCTTCTTCCAACTTTTTAATATCGCGTATTGTCGCTGATCTCTCAATTTTCTCTTTCGCAGAACGTTTAAATTACAATTTTTCCTCTTTTTTTTTTTTTTCTTTCGTTTCTCGCACGTAATGGCAAAATCGTTTAATCCCCCGTGTTGAGGGCATCGCTTGCCGAAATGCCGGAGATAGCGTTCGAAACTTGGAAACCGTCGACTCGTTTCTCTCTCGCCTTGGCATTTCTCGATGCGGGTCAACCTAACCGCTCGCTTCGAAATTCTGCCCGATCTATCCCTTTCCCTCCCCCCCCCCCACGTATCTTTTCCCCCGATTTTTCGAAAAATCCACGTGTTTATCGCCTCGAGGAAAGAGATAAAATTCGTTTTCACGAAAGAAGAGGGACGATTCGAAAGTTGTAGCGCGCCAATAAGAGAACAGGTATTCCTCGTCTATCCGTCTAAGTCCATTACGGGATTTGTACATGGAAAATAAGAAAGAATCGTGGGAGCGGACAAAAGGAACGAGAGAGAGAGAGAGGGGGGGGGAATAGATGGAAACGATTGAGGAAGGGAGGGAGGGACCGATATCCCGATTGTAAGGCGGGCCGTAAAGGTGTGGAGAGGACGACTTTGCGTGGAATCGTGCGTATTCCACGGGAGGAAATGGGAGCAAGCCCGTGACAGGCCGTGGCTGGCTGATGCGAAGAAACGACGGACGGATGGAGGAATCTAAAAATATTCCTCCGTCACATCCCTCTCTCTCTCCCCTAGAAGAAGAAGTTGACTGTTCGAAAAGCTCTTCGGGAGTACTATGCACGAAGGGGGATGAGGGGAGGGGGAGTGTTTCCCTTCTTTCCTGCCGGCATTCCATCCGCCAGCCTCTCCCCCCCCCCCTGCTCCCTCCCATTTGCGCCATTTCGAGGACTCTTGGGTCTGGGCTTTCGCCTCGTTCCCACAACCGTTACCTTCCACCACCACCGCTCCCTTCCTCACCCCCCCCCGCCCTATGAGAGAGAGAAGAGAGAAACTTAGCATCGTCTTCAAAAGGTAGCAGGGATACGTACGTACGTAGTTACACGCGACGAGGAGGATCGGCCCAACCCCGGGATAAAGTATTTCCGATTCGAATTTCCATCCCCGATATGACGCCGCTTGTTCGCGTGGTTAGCCTAGATAGACCGGCTGCGGGCCGAATGCTCGCCTCTCTAAGCCGATTCTAAACTACGGTCGATAAGTTTGCCCCCTTGCTCCTCCCCCTCCTAGCCCCGGGACGAGCAGGAACGCAACCCCTCGTCCTAACCACCCCTCTCCTTCCACTTTCCGTGACCGGACCGTTTATACGACACGCCGCGGCTGTCCTACCGACCTCGTCGCCCCAGACCTGCCTAGTTCAACCTGTCCGAGCACACGTCAAATCGAATTTTCTCGCGCGCATACACACACATACAGAGAGAGAGAGAGAGAGAGGAGGAGGAACGGGTATAGGCCATATTCCGTGACTACGAGCGGAGCGACACCCAGCTGCTTTACACGCATTACTAAGTCATAGGCTTACGTGGCTCTAAGGAAACGTACGTGTGCGTTATTGCTACGTAGTACTTTACGTGTCTTTCTTTTTCTCTCTTTCTTTTCCTTTTTTCTTTTTCTCTTCTTTTTCGTTTTCCATCCGATTTTCCCGATTCCTCGCTCTATCGATCCGCGACGATACCGCGAGTCGTTTTCGGGAGGAGAGAGGGGAGGTCCATCGATCGGATATTTTATGGGAATATTATGTGGATGCCGATCGGGGGAAATTTTGGAATCAACAGCCACCGTGGAAATTAAGAATATGAAATGAATTTTTTGCCACCCAGCCCCGATACGCTTCCGACCTTATTCCAGCTTTTCCACGATTTTATCGATGGAAAGCCGTTATGAAAGCCTTTTTTTTTTCCCCTTCCTCCTCCTCCTCCTCCGATTTCTTGATTTATCGCCAAAAGGATTTATCGATCCCCGCTTCTTCTTGTCGCTTTAAAGTGGCCAACTTTTTGGCGATTTTGGCTCTCGCTTTGCCTCTCCCCCTGAAATTCCCCGCACGTGCCCGCCGCCCCTTTCCTCTTCTCCTTCTTCTTTTTTTCTTTTTTTTTTATCTCTTCCGGCAAGTGCCATCCCCGTATTTATAGTTTCGCTTAATACGAGCCGTCTTATTCCCTACTTTCCATTTTCCTTGCGAAATCGATCTCTCGAGGCGATAACACGGATCGCGATTTCTTCTCCTTCGCACACACGTTGAGAGATGTTACGATGGAAGGATACAGGTTTAGGGAAGAGAGACATTTTCGCGCGTCCCCCGAGGAGACACCCGTGGAAAATTTATACTCGGCCAATAAGTAAGTAATACTTGGGGTGGGGGTGTGAGGCCAGGTGCCGGCGGTGGTCCAGATCGATAGAACATTAAAACGGAGGAGGGGAGGCGGTATTGGGGTAGCCGCGTTGGCGAATAAAACGGTGGCAAGCCTTCTTTTACTTAACTGTCCTACGTTTAACTTGGTCGTGATTTACGCGCGAGATTTTTAGAAGAATCGTGATAAAACACCCCCCTCGTTTGATCAACGAGATCATCTTTAAATAAATTTCCAGACAGGAATGGAGCGCGCTTTGTTTCTAATCGAAGGCTGCGATTATATATAAAACCGTTTTGAATTATTAATTTTTTTTTAGAGGGAGGAAGATTTCGTTATTAAAAAATATCATCTTAACTTGCGATTACGCGAGAAATTTCGTAACTCGGTATTATTTTTTTTTCTTTTTGGAAAATTTTTTCACCAGTCGAGCGAAACGCGGGATGAAATTAAATTTGTACTCGAGACTTACCGCTTTTTTAACAAAGGAAACGAATCCATATCCTTTGGATTTGAGCGTTTGTGGATCTCTCACGACTCTGCAATCTCTGCAACAAGAAACAAGTTCATTTGTTAAAAATATAAAATTCCCGTTACGAAAAGAGGTCTTGGAAATTATTACTTGCGGTTAAAGTAACTCGAACATTCTTTCTTCCTTTCTTTCTTTCTTTTTTCTTTCCCCCCCCCCCTCCCCCCTTTCGAAGATTCGTTTATATACAACCAACCTTTCATCCCTTTGAATTTTAATTAAATTTTTATACACAGCGGATAACGTTTTAGCGCAAAGTCGAGAATAAAATCGAGGTTATAATTTTCTCCAAAAACGAAGGGAAGAAGAAAAAATTTTTATCCATTCGATTCATTCGACACGTATAAAATCATATATACATACATATCTTCTAATCGTATCGCTTTTTTCCGCTTTCTTCCCGCATTATCGCGAAAGTTGAGAGAAGAAGGCCACCCGCTACTACTTCGAATCGACGGATAGATGTTTCGTGACACTTGGCAATCATTCCGTTTACCTTATCTTACCCGATACAACGTAACACGAAAGCAACAGATTAGCGGAAACCGGTTCCTTTCTCCCCCCCCCCCCAACTTTTAACGAGACACCCGCATCGTGCATTTTCTTCTCTCTCTCTCTCTCTCTCTCTCTCGATTTTATAATCGTACGTATCCCTCCACAATTTTCGACAATCAAAAGAGAGAAAAGAAAAACGCCTCGACGAAGGGTTTAATCCATCCGAATTTCGAAGGTGTTTTATATACACTGTCCGGAAAACATGGAGTTGGAGAATGATCGAACACCCTAAAAATTCTTCCCCGTAATTAAGATTCCAGCGATGTCTGACGGATGAAATTAGGAGGGATACTCGAGGTAAGTAGTCTTCTCGCCGTCCCTCTCCACTTAAATAAAATATTCTTTCGCTCGATGGGGACTGGCATGCGGCTCGAATAAAACTCTGGTTATATAGGTCTGCCAAATTTTTCATCTCGCTCGTCGTCTGAATTTTTCGGACGTTCGATAGAATTTCATATTGTCTGGTTGAAAAAGAAGAAAGAAAGAAAGAAAGAAAGAAAGAAAGAAGAAAGAACGAAAGAAGGGAAAAATAGATGGAGAGGGAAAACGAAAATAAATTTTGCTAATTGCCTTTTTTCGGTTCCGATATTTCGCTATAACATCGTGGGGGAGGTAAGGAAAATGGAAAGAAGAATCGACGATGATCCAAATTAAAGAGGAATGCAACGTTGAGAGAGCAGAAATAAATAATGGACAGAATCGATGAACCAGTATTCATTGTAAAACGATTAGCGGGGAAGCTCGTCGTGTATTTATCTTCGTTCGTTATGTCGCTTGCTCGAGGAAGATATCTACGCGTCTGGAGCATTAATCGCGAAATTATTATTCTTAAAAGATTGGGCGGGGAGGACAATTTTTCACAACGGAATTGGACGATATTGCGAAAAGCAGGGGTGGATATCGGGCAAGTTGGAAGCGAGAGAAGTGAAATTGGAGAGGAAAAGAGCGAGGAAAAGGCGAGGGTTTCAGAACGAAAGGACAGAACGTGAAAAGAGAGATGAAAGAGAGGGTAAGCAAGATTACGCGCGTCAAAGAGTGGCAGTACTTTGCTTTCTCATCCCCCTCCCCCCGTTTATCCTCCCCCTTCCCCCTCTTATATGCAACTTTTTCGGTTTCCTCCTCGAACAATTAATCGTTCGCTCTTCGAGAGGCCTCCCTCGCGAATTTTATTACCCGATAACAATTTAATCTCTAATGGGAATAACGACAAGTTGCGCGCGAGGTTTTTAATCTTATTTCACGTTTTCCAGGTTTTGGAGGATGCGCGATGCAATAAACCGAGTTAAGAAGGTCAAGTACGAGGAGACCGGACAAGCGGTAGTTTTCGAGTAAAATTTACTCGAAAACTACTATGTTGCGCAAGAAGCTAAACAAAGTTGCGGTCAACTGTAAACGCGGCCTTTCGGAGCGGAGTTATGCATTTACTTTCTCTCCTCCCCGCTTAAATACTTATACTCGGTTAAATTGCTTTCCACCGTCGGCCCCGGTATTTAGCCAGCCCTTAATCGTCCTCGTTTTTACGTAATAAAGAAAGAAAGAAAGAGAGAAAGAAAGAAAGGAAGAGAGAAGGAGAGAGATCGCGCGTCTTTCGCGATTATAACTCGACCGAATAATATTCGAAATTTTCCCTCGATACCGATCTATTTTATATATATAAAATATATCAGGCGAATAAGTTCCTTTTTTCTTTAATCACAACCTCTGACCGAATTCGAATCACTTCGCATTCGGACGATGTATTCTCTCTGGAGAGATATTAAAAATATTAGAACGTTAGAAAGATAGCGTTAAAAATAGCGTTAAAAAAGCGAGTTTACTTTCTCTACGCCCAGCCAAACCGTGTGACCGATATTCTTGTCGTTTACGCCACGCGCTTTCTCGAAAGACGACGATCGTTCAGATTCGCACGGAGAGAGTTGGATGACGGTGGAATCGATCGACGAAAATCTTATATTGAAAAAAATTTGATAAAAAGGGGGAGAAAGAACTTATTTGCACGCCTAACAATCTATCGATCTATCCTCTTCTCGTATCGACTTTACATTAAACGAACGAGTTCTTTTTTTTAAACGATTTCGAGCCTCTCTCCTCGAGATGATCCGCCATCATTGTTTTCCGCGAGTTTTCAGCGGAATGCCGGCGCGAGTGTCACACTGGCGCGAACATGAGTAATAGTCAATATAAGTTAGATGTAGAGCAGCACGCCAGTCCCATATGTCGTTGCGTCCCACACTTCAACCTCTCCTCCCACCTCTCTCTCTCTCTCTCTCCTCGCTCTCCCTCCTCTTTCGAATCGGCCCTCTTTTTACGGCTTCCTCTTCTTGTCCGCTCCACCACTTGACGAGGACGAAACAATCGGGAACGCCGTGAAATTTACGTTTCCACCTCGCGTTAAAAATCGTAAATTAATGCACGGTTATTGACGCGATAAATCTCGAAATTTAATTCAAGTTCCATCGAGAGCTGTCCACCGACGGCGGCCACCCGCCCACCCGCTCCATCCTCTTTCTCGCCGCGCCGATATAGCCGAGGCGACAATGGCGGCAGCCGAGCTTCGACGCCTGGCCAACGACAAAGCCCCCCCCCAGAGATGGGATAAAGAGTTAGTTTGGATTTATTGCGAGCGTTGCGCCGAACGAACGAGCGATGGACGTCAAGAGTTGGAAGTCGAGCGGCGATGATTCAAATTCCAGGTCCTAGACACGGCGTCCGGTCGTGCGAAAAAAAAGAAAAAAATAAACAAAATAAAAGGGGGGCTGGCTTGTCCTTCATCCTATCAATCCCGCCAAGTCTTTATTCCATCGGGCTGTCGCGATCCTCGCGCCGCTTTTATTTATTGGGCCTCGTCGTTGGAACACCGCGAAACTCGAGCCAAGAGACGAGAATTTCAATTTTTTCCCTTCGAAAGGAGGAGTAAATCTTTTTTTTGGGATTTTCCTTCGAGATTATCGTATTTCATCCTCGTTGCGATTAATTTAAAGTGAAATAGAATAGAAATTTATACGATTTCGTTCTACGTTCTAGAAATCGAGCAGAAACTAAATTCAATTGGCGGCAAGTGTTCGAAACGTAACGTTAGCGAGCCTATTTGCTTTGTTCATTAGTTATTCCGTTCGCTGGGTTGCAAGCTAAACGTCAGCGTATAAATTAATTTCATATAACATCAATAGACTCCAATTAGGGGAATAGAGCAATAGTCGATGTAGAGTAGCGAATTTTACCTCCTGGGATTTGTCTCGTATCGCATTTGCGATCGTACGGGACCGTGTTACGATTCATAATACCTCGCATAATGCTTAATATAATTTTGTCAACGCCATCCATGGATGAACCGTTCGTTGAAAGTTTGTTTTTTCGAAGGGAAGCTATCGAAAAGCTAATTAAATCATCGATAAACGATCATAAAATCTTTTATCAACCCGTGCTCCCAATCCGTGTTTTCTCATTCTCTGTCTTTTTTGAAAAGGAGTATCGAAGAATCTATCAAATTATCGATAAAAAATTTAAAATTCGAAGACGATCGCTTTAAAACGCTCGTCTTTTTATCAAGTATCGAAAAACCTGCCGATCAAATTATCGATAAAAAATTAAAAATTCGATCGCTTTAAAACACGCGTGTTTTTATCAACCCATTAACTTTCGTCCGTGTTTTCTCATTCTCCTTGTCCCTTTCGAAAAGAAGTATCGAAAAATCTGCCGATCAAATTATCGATAAAAATTAAAAAATTCGATCGCTTTAAAACACGCGTGTTTTTATCAACCCACGAACTTTCGTCCGTGTTTTCTCATTCTCCTTGTCAGCGTCCCTTTCGAAAAGAAGTATCGAAAAATCTGCCGATCAAATTATCGATAAAAAATTAAAAATTCGAAGACGATCCCTTCAAACACGCTCTGCTCTTTTTATCAACTCGTGCTTCCAATCCGTTATCCGTGTTTTCTCATTCTTAGTCAACGTCTTTTTCGAAAGGGAGTATCGAAAAAGTTAACGGCGATTAAATCATGGATAAAAAAAATTACAAAACTCGAAGACGACGATCGTTTTACAAACAGCATGCATCTTTTCATCAACCAACGTGCTTCCCAAGCTACGAAACCTTCGCGCGTTAACCGTGCTTTCTCATTCCTTGTCAGCGTTGCTCGCCAATCCAGCCGGTTTTTCGTGATCGAACGGGGACCCGAGCTCATTAATTACAAATAATAAAAAGGGAGACGCGTCAGCGCGAAAAATCTTCGCACCTGCGAGATCCATCGAGCGTAAGTAAGAATGGATAAAAGGAATATCACGCTACAAATGCTCGTTAGCTCGAGATCGCTCATCAATCTACCTGCTAATCGCTCAGAGTGTCGCTTCTCGATCGTTATATCCCACATATTCGCTCCTGATATCACGCACAAGTTGTGTATCGTTAATATCGACGCCTTCGCGCAATAGCGATTAACGACAGATGATGATAATTACGCGAGATAACACGCCTCGTTCAAAGAA